AGTAAGGCAGCAGAATGGTCCTGGTCTTACTCATTGTTCGAAGCACTGCTGTTGGCTGGCTATCGGGTGCAATTTATGTTCTACTTCTTTTACTGGATCAGACCTGACTTTTTTCTCATCTATCTATTAAAAACATTTTCACACCACAAAAGATACATGGTCCTGCAATAACAACAACAGTCCTGCAAAATATGAAAGGTTCTAGTTTCTCTTGGTCATACCTGCATGAGAGATTCTCAACTTATTTTTCTAACCTGACAGGAGACTGATTATCTCAACAATAAGAAAACTCTGCCTCAAAATTTCCAAAGATTCAGCATCACAAAAGACTGGGCATCCTAAGTACTGCCATGGTCCCACCTGCCTACACCACTGAAATAATGCAGCCCAGATGACGGATACAGTGCACGGTGCAATTTCTTAACAAAACCCTCCAACCATGTAGTAACATGGGGACTTTGTCATACACGAACAAATGTGAAAAAACAAAGAACAGTAGCAGACTTGCACAGGTTGACAGGAGCACGGGCCACTCTCCTGCAGCAGGATACCTGGTCAAGTCCATTTATCCCAGCAGCTCCAGTCTCGGCTAACAAGAGAGCTTTTTGATCAACATGAGGTAGCCAGATGTCAAATCATTTAAGATCAGGAATGAAAGTTAACTTTTGTGTGCTCCCCAGAGCTATCCCAAAATGGACTACTACAGAGACCTTGTCAAAATTATGACTGAGGGAGAAACTTGCTCTCTTGGGCACTTTTCCACCACAAAACAGGCCAGTGAGATAAAATCCCTCCTAGTTTTTCCCATATAAAAAACATCACCATGTAACTGCTACCAAAGATGATGCTGAACTGCAGTTTGTATGCACTGCGCTGCAGCGTTCTGAGCCAGTAACACCAGCGCTGCCGCTGCTGCTTCAGTTATGAACTGCACTGTCTGTGCTAATAGATTCAGAAACGCTAGGCTGCAGCGTGTAACTATTGCATGCTATATATCACACATTGCCCTACAAAATACTATGTGGTTATTCAATAGGTGCCAAGTATTTTTCAGATTAAGTATTCTAAACATTGTTCTTACCATGGTTTAGCATAGACATTTCTTCTACCGCATGCCTTTGCCCATATCTCACTTACAAGACCTTACTACAGCTCTAAGCCTGATGCTTTCATTATTATTACTAGTTTGAACAGTGGATAAATATTTTGCTTCTATACAGCCCCCCCCTCTGAAAAACCATGGGTCACAGCATATATACCAACCAGGAATGAGAAATGCCGCCTCTGTAAAAATACGTGCCCTATACTCATGCGTACTTTAGAGTAAATCAGACGAGTGATGTAGCAACCATAGCATGATTTTATCTCCACATGTAAAATTACTGTTTGTGGTATCACTGAAAGGAAAGGCATAATTAGAACATGGAAACAGAGATTTGAGCCAGAGGGCATACACAACTCTCTCTGGTGATTATAGAATTCACACTGCACGCTGTTTGCTTCAAAACCAATAATCAAGTTATCTGAAAGAAGTTAACAAGAGCTGTAGTCTACTTCACTTACTTCACGTAACATTTTAAATAAAGTATTGATTTAATAATAAAAAAGGAGGATGAAGACTTGGAATCTTCTCTTGTTTCTATGAACAATGGACTATGTGATGAAAGGTGTAAAACTCCACAAGGCAAGAGAGAAGGAAGAAAGGTGACTTTTACTAGGTAATAAAAAGATCCACAGCCTTTTTGAACATTCTTACCTTATGTCCTTAAAAATGATTGTTACTAGATTTTACTCTCCTAGTTTCCTTTCTTACAAAGCATCCATATGCTAGATTTTATTAATCAATGCCATTATTACAAATTAAGCAATTTTCATTGCTTATGTCCATTTTCCTAAGCTCGTCCCCTTCATTAAATTGATAGAAACCACCTTCTCCTTCTATTTGCATTTGAGAAGTCTAGATCTGGACAATTCAGACTTTAAAATACCTTGGGGAATCAAAACTGAGCAGGAGTCAGAAATGATGGCAAATGTTGAATTAAAGCTCTGAGTACTGTTACTGGCCTTTCAGTTTTTCAGGCATTAACATCTTTGCAAAACACTAAATATAATCTCAAAGATATTACATTTACGTTTCAAAGGCAGAAAATTCCTGTCTGGTTCTGGTTAGTTTATTGTGTTTTCCTCAGTAAGGTGTGAAACATGGTATCTTATAGGTGTTCAAAAATACTTCACAGAGATTACATTCCTAATATAAATGTAAAAAACACTGCTGGCTGAATATAGCATTGCATTCTTTCTTATGCCATTTTTATTAGAAGCTTCCAGACAGTGCTGCAAAGCTTAAAGTTAATTGTTTCCCATGCTTTGCAGGTGTACCTGTTTTAACCTGCATTTTATTCTGTCATGTTAATAATGTGAAATTGTGATACTGATAAAAATACCTTACAATAGGACACAGGCCAGAGACATTCTCATTTAAACAGAAGAATTGATTCAACGTTCACAGCATGATTTAACAGAGACCTTGGAACATTTTGGTGCATTAAAGAAAGCCTGGGTTAGCAAACTTTGCACAAAAGCAATGTATTTCCTTCAGATTTGGAAACTGCATTTCTGGCCAAAAGCAGCACTGCATTTGAAAAGCTGCATCTTTTGTTTTCATAGCACAGTACTTTTCCCTCCATGAAAATGCACAAAGAAGGGCAGTAGTTTGTGAAAGGGTACTCAGGAGGCATGGGGAAAGAGACAAGAAAGCGCCTCTGAAAGAGAGGACAAATGTGAGATGGAGGATGTTGGATACCAAAACTGAACATGAAATGATGAAAGTCAGATGCCACTTAACTTTCCAGAGTTGAGAACTGTAAACTTAACACTGCAACAAAACTGAAATTTACTTGTATATCGATGTACATACATAGAGTGCAGCATCTAATTTGGAGGTACTAACATGTTCATGAGACAAGCCCAAGGACAGAATTCAGAGGAGAAATACTGTGCTCTGCTATCAGAGATGAGTTTATACTAGAAAAATTGAGCCAAGTGACGTAAGATGTGCAGCAGACCCCCCCCCCCCAATTATTCAGTGTTATTTTCTCTAATTTAAGATGAAATAGAAATATTTTATATAAAATATGCAATGTTTGATTTGCATTATCCTATAATTTCTTGTACACAGTAGCTCTTTTAAGCAGGAAAAAAATATTAAACTAGCTTATAACAGTTGGTATATGATCTCCACAGTAGTGATAAAGTCAGACAGCAAAAGTTTTCTTTTAAAAAGAAAAACATGTAGATACGCAATGTGGATATGTCCACACATTGTTCCAGTGATTTAAAATGTAATTTTTAATATGTGAGCAAGGGAGGTGCTGTGGAGTCCCAGGGCATGAGCAGAATCCACCTGACAGAAACTTCATTTAGGCAACAAAGATCTCGCGCACATGCAGAATGAGTTACTGCCTCCTGCCGCAAGAACTAGGACTTCACTTGGCAACAGTTCTCATGAGATTAAGTATAGTCAAACAATACAAAATGCAAGGTGCATTATGAAAAGCACATGGGGAGCATTTGGGGAAAGCATGATTAAGCATTTAAGATTTCCTTGCTTTGCCACTTTTATGCAGGGGAATACAACACGGAGCTTTAGACCCTAAATGTGTATTTGCACAAAATACAATCTTTGCTTATTGCAAAGGTTTTCAAAGGGTAGTAGAATTTTTGTTATGATTATTATTATTATTTCCGTTTAAATACTATAAATGTACTATAATGTGTATATAGGGAAACTGCTTGAAGATTGGTTTTCAGCTTAATACCTATTACTGCATGTAAATGGAAATTTAAATTAAAAATCTGTTTTGTCTAGTTTTGTCTGTTTTGCCATAGAGTACGTTTTACATTTCAGCTGAAAAAAGCATACTGTTTTTATATAGCATCTGCTGTTGGGCCATTTGAGATTAATTTGGCACAACTTTTGTAAATAACAGATTTATTATCAGATTTTCTTCACTGATAGGATGTTTTTTAACTTTAGGTCCCAACAATTGTCTTTGTGAGAATAAAATAATGTTCTTTCATAAAATAATTAAAACCACTAAGGATTTTTTTTCAACTAGTAAGAATATTAATTGGGTTCACCATCAAAATATGGTAACATGTAAAATATCTTGTTTTGCATGTTAATACTTCGTAATTGCACAGAGATTTTCAACTTCAAAGCTCTTTACATGAATTGAGTGGATGTCCCTGAAGGCCTTAGGCAAAATTTTCTTTGCCTTCAAAAAGAGATTTGCACCAGACAAAAGCTTTGTGAAAAATGCAGGACTGCGCTTTGTTGTTTTAATCTACCGCCATCGCACGTGAGATAAAATATTACTACCATTTTGCAGATGGAGCAGTGGAAACAGGGGGAACTGAATGGGACTATCCCTGCTCATCTGAAAACTCTGTACTTCACCCTGGCTGTGGCACATTGAGCAAGTGAGAAACAAAATGCGAGATAATTCAGTTTTCCAAAGCCATGTCAACATACCTTTCAATTATTTCTTTACTTCCCCACCAAATATCAAGCTGCCTGAAAGTCCGATGATTACCTCCTATTGCAGTGCTCCACACACAATGCCTTCGCTCAAGCACTGAGGCAGAGAAAAATGCATTTATAGAACTCAGCCAAAAGTTGTTAGCTGGTACTCCACTGTGCTTCGTCAAATGACATTTTAAAAGGTACTTGCTAGAAACAGGAAGTTTCCCAAAATCCAGGAGCAATGGTTATTCCCTTATGTCAGATAGACCGAAATCTATCATGAATCACCACTCAGTATTTTCAAACTGAACTTTCTTTTCACTGACTTTTAAGCCACGCTACAGACATGAAACTGCAATAGGCGTTTACAACCTGTGAGCTAAAGCATGAATATTTTTTCAGCATCCTTTGCCATGACATTTTTTGGTGAGTACAAGTAAGATCAACAAGCATTTCTCTTTGTACTTACCATGTGATTTTTATGCCACTTCACTGGACACAGGGAGTAATACATTGGGTCTTTTTATTGCTCAAGTAGAAAGTGCTCATTACCTATTTATGTTTATATATAGGAAAAAACCAAGAGTTGATTCAAGTGGCATACATCACACTGTTGTAGTGGTTGATTTCCTCAGGATGGTCTTCTGGGGTTTTGGTGCGGTGTGTGGAGGCACAGTCACAGGTCTCGGAGGAGGAAAGCTATTACTGGGACTTATCCCCAACCCTCCATTTTCCAGAGGAAATGGAGGCAGCGGAGGTGGTGGAGGTGGCAGGGGAGGGCACTGGTGTGGCAGCTTTCCCACAACACGGGCAGGCTCACTGTGCAAGTGCACCTCCCTGTTTTTAATGTTATACCGAACATCACAGTCAGGGCAATAGCCGTGGTACTGCACTTTTTCACTAAATCGTACCCGTTCCCTTGTTCCCGGCTGAGGACACCGCTCTTTCTCAGGTCTGTGCATCAGAGGCTGCATCACAACTTTCTCCAAATTACTGTTCGGTACACAGCATGTATCTCCGTTTGGGATGCGGTTGGGCCCGACTGGCAAGCCCCCATTTCGCAGCAGGGTTCCATTAGTCTTGACAGGGTTGGCCAAAGGAGGCAGCCTCGGAGGCTCGTCGCACTTGACGGGCGTCAGTCGTTGACGGGCGTCAGTCGTGGCGGAGGCGGGGGCGGATTTGGCTTCCGCAGCACAGTGAGGATAGCGGAGGGGTGCGCGGGTGGCTTGATGAGTGGTGCGCTGCCCCGCACCTTGACTTTCTCCAAGCTGGAAGCTGTTGTGCTGCTGGAGCTGCTGTTGAGCGTGTCTGTTTTGGAACTGTCTGTCATCTCATCCTCCAGCTGCAGGTCAGACGTCAGCGTGTCAATCTGGTCAACCACCTGCACAAGAGCCAGAGTGAAAATGGTGAGAAAAGCTTGCCCCAGTGAAGGCAAAACAGAAAAACAAAAGCACTCTCCACTATCAGTTTTGTCCTTCCCAGAACCGAAGCATCCAAATTTTTTTGACCATTATTTCTTGTTTCTTGCCAACATAATAAAATAATAGTAATAATAATAATAATAATAATAATAATAATAATAATAATAATAAGGATGGCTAGTTTGCTAGCTCATCACCTGAATACAAAAGAAATGCAACTGGAAACACTCTGGAATGAAATTCTGCTTCTTTCCCTCTAGGGTTTACTTGGCAATATCAGTGTAAGTGAACTGTAAACCTTCAATATTATGCTTTGCCTTCCAGTGCAGGAGGAGACTGAATTATTTAACTTTAGCTTCTACGTGACAGCTTCTGAATCCAAATCTTCTGCAGAGTATCTTTTAGCGCTGACCTTTCACACAGCCTAGATTTAAATATGCATCTCTGTATAGGTGATATCATACACCTACAATCGTAAGTTTGGTA